CAGCAGGGAGATGACTGCTGCTTACCATTAACGATAATGCCTTAAGTAACTTTAAATCCAAAGTGTTTGTTGGTTTAAACTAGAGAGGCCTGACCAGAGATCAGATTACTGTCACACATGCATGGTGAAAGACAGAGCTGACCCTAGCCAGTTCACAAACTACATACAAGATAACCAAAGATAAAAGGTGAGATTGAAGGGCAGAGGTGAACTGTTTGCCCACTGTCACACACAAGATGAATGGGTGAGATAGGACTAGGGACAGACATTACACATAAACCAGCTTAAGTAATCAGAGACTGGTTTAAACCTGTAACAGAACATACATAAACCAGTTTGAGAATGGCTGCTCTAGCACCCCCCTGGCTTATAGCCTGAGCCACTGCAGGTATGTGCCTGCATTTCTGAAATGGCTGTCTGGTTACAAAACCAATTTAGCCTAGCCACGTTAGACTAACCTGCAGAGATTGAATCAATTCAATCCTCAGGCTTTTTGAATGTCTGTCCCTAGCCCCAATCTCTGCCTTATCCAGAGAAACATGCTACTATGACCTGCAATGAAGAAAGGGGTATTTGGAGAGGATTAGTTTTCAAGTTAGATTTTTATGGTGTTTTAGGAGGGGAAAAAATTAAAGTATTGAAAAAAATATTTTTGCTTGTCTAGTGACCCCTTGCTGTTGTGTGATATATGATGTGATTTTTTTAGACAGAAGAAACCCTATGTCTCTGACTTTGTCTTGTCTTTATCCTTTTCCCACTCCTTTTTTCCATGCTGCCTCCAGTGTATGAGTTTTCTACTGCCTGTGCACTATGTTACCTACTTCCTCTCTTTCAGATCCCTCTTAGCAACAGACTCCTGCCATGCTGTTTATGGAGAGTGAGTTAATTTACTAAACCAAAATTACTAGAACCATCAAGATATGCACAAGGCAGAAACGAGTAATTGTGTTATCTTATTACTTGTCCTCATTCTCAAATATTCTAGTCTTGTTTATTCTATTTCTCTTAAATGTTATACTTTTATTCTGCCCAGTCAGCAATAGGGTGGTACTGTCTTCAGGTAGGGATCCTGGCTTTTAGTTTATGCTCTAAAGCAGGGCTGTCCAGTTGGCAGTCTTGTGAGGGGCCAGCATCTGGCCACAGGCTGTGTGGTCAGCCACAGGCTGTGTGGTCTGTGGACAGTTAATATGCAGCTTGTGGGCCCCAGTGGCTGCCTCTCTTGTGGCTGTGTACCAGGGGAGGGCCCAGGGTCCATGTGCACTGGTGCAATCTGTGTGATGGGGCTGTGTGCCGCTTGTGTAGCCCATGCAGCAAAAGGAGGAAGGAGGAGATGTTTCACGGGGTGGTGTGCTGCATAGCCCACGTGACAGCAGGGCTCACTGGGGGAGTGGGAACCACCTACCCCGTGTGTTGCATGGAGATGTAGTGCGCAGGTTTGTTATTACCCTGAAATAGAATAATTTTCTGATAGCATACTGTTAGGTTAACAATAATTTAGATTATTAAGAAGTATTAGCTTTACAGCTGAATACAAGGCATGACCTGTGGCCTAGCAATGCAGCTGACCACAAGGCAGATTGATAGCTAAGCCTTTGCTTGTGTCAAGTAATCATTTTAACTGTATTAAGCATTTTCTGAGTTAAAAGCAGCAAGTATCTCTGTGTCTGTGTGCTGAAAAATCAGCTACAGCAAAAAGTAAAATAAGACAGGGAAACCATTGTTCTGGGTGCACTGGTTGTGTCCTTGAGAAGTATCTACTACTGTGTAAGGTTTTGCTAACATATTATAATGTTACTGTTACTTAACTTTTAGCTTTTAAAGAAGTGCTAGTTCAGCTTAATAGAAATATGCTGTTACAAAGATTTGAAAAGCACCGCCCAAGTATTGCTTTTTTTGTTAACCATGAAGTCTTGCCTTGTTGTAATAAGTATAAAAGATCACCTCACCCTTAGGGGGGGGCCATTTTGCCTTTTGCTGGCTTTATGGTCTTTGCTCGAGCAAATAAACAGCTGTCTTTCTTTACCCGCGTTGTCTGTTAATCAAATTACAGCTAGACAACGAACCTTAGGGAGGTTTCTCCCACCACAGAGACCACAAGCCAGTGCTGCATGTGGCCTCCAGCTGTGCCAAAGTTGGACACCCCTACTCTAAAGCACCGATAGGCTGCTTGATCTTGTAAAAGTAATTCTTCTGGGGGTCCTTATGGCAACAGGAGTGAAAAGGAGGAAAAGCAAGATCAGATCACTGAAAGAGCACACACACTCTCTTTGTCCTGTGGTCATAGTCTGTCCTTTGAAAAATGTCATTTAAATCACTGTAATTGGAGCCTCCCTGAAATCAGTCTGAAACTGAATTTGAATTATGTATATGGAATGCATGTGTGTAGATCTGCTTAAGAGCTGAGAGTTTCCAAGCTATCTGGAATGTAAAATAGACTTTTCACACAACTCTTCCGTAGTTCAGGTGGATGCAGTCGTAAGAGGTAACCTAGCCTTTGCACTGTCAGCATACTCATGATTGTTCTGGTAGAGCTAGATCTCTTTTTTAAGATATGGTCTGCTGCCTACTTGCTTTGTCAACTGCCAGCTCTTGATAAAGTACCTTTCAGTACTTGCACGTTGAGCAAAAGAGCAAAGGAGAAGATGAAGGGCTCTAGCGGTGGAAGCTGTGTGTTCTGCTTGCTGTGTCTGGAAGTGAGACCAAATTTAACACATATATCCCTGGACTTGAACAGAGAAGGGGTTAACTTGGAAACTACATTTGTTTATTTCCTCAAGTTGCATGTTATCATGATCCCTTCAGGTAATTGGAGAGGTGACCCAGGACATTCCTTTTATCAAGTTCCCAGGAGTACTAGTCTCACCAGACCACTGAGGCACAGAAGAAACTTTTATGAATAACTAGAGAGCAGACATACAATGGATATATGTATTCTAGGAAAACTAGAATTACAGGAGGGTAGATCAAGATTTAGCTCAGGACAGTCTTTTTTAGAAAGCAAGAATTTTTAAGCAAGGGCAAAAACAGCTATAGGGAAAACTTAGGTAGGTAGAATACTTCTGTTCTGATTGCTATTTTTGCAGGATTTTCGGTTTTGATATTGCTGCACTTACAGAAAGTGCTTTGGGTCTCTAATGGCTTTGTGAGATCAGGACTTTCTCTGGAAAAAACAAGAGGCAGAACCTCCTGATATCTTGGTGGATCTTGAGGAGTTTAGTGTTCTTTCCTAGCATGGTGGCTGGACATTTTTTGTAGCGTCTGCCTTTGGATTTTTTCAGGGGCAGCAAGGACCTGTGTGGGCAGCAGGGCTGGGGGAGCAGAGGGCTTCGAATCAGGAGTGAGGGGCACTGATTGTGGGCAGTAGGGGATGGGGGGCTGGCGGCAGGGAGCTGCAGGTTGGGAGTGAAGGGCACCAGCAGGACTGGGGAGTAAGTGACTTGGGAGTGAGGAGCACCAGAGGGACAGGGGGCCATGGGTTGGGAACACAGGGAACAGGCAGGGTCAGAGGGCTGTGGGTCTGAAATGAGGGGTATCAGCAGGGACAGGGGGGCTGTGGGTTGTGGGTGAGGGGGAGCAGCAGGGCTGTGGGGGGGCTGTGGCTTGGGAGTGAGGGGTAGGGGCAGGGCACAGGCATATCACTGTCTGCCCCCCCCACTCTGACAATCATATACCTCCTCCCCCCACAGGTGTTCTCTTTTTTGAAATTGGAAATACGGTAACCCTAACAAGTACTATCCTACAGTGGTGTAGTTACATGCACTGAAACTCATATGTAGATGGTGTCTGGGGCTGGCTGAGGTACAAGGGTGCTATAGTGCCATGGCTGACTGCCATGTAGCCCCACTCTGGAATTCCCTTGTGCTCCAGCCAGCCTCTCCACAACACATTGAGCCAGGATGCAGCAGCCCTGGGCTGGTAGGCTGAACCCCTGGGCCCTTTGTCATCCAAGGCTGCTCCGCCCCAGCTCAACGTGCTTCGGTCCTGGGCACATATGTGCCCAGGAGCAATAAACTCTGTTATGAACTGCACCAGAGTTAATCGCGATGTGTTAATGGCACATGTAGATGCACCCACAGAGTTTGAAAATTTTATTTAAACCAAAAGAAATTTTGTTTCAGGAATAGGAGTTTGAGTCTAAATCAGCACAAATGCTGATATTTAGTCTTTGTCTCAGTATTGGATCTCTGAGGGATGATTTCCCCCCTTTCAACCTTTTTTCATTTGTGAACCTCTAAACAATTTTGAATGCAGGTGTGGACCTCTTTGAATTGTAAGTGTAGGTTTTCATATACTTTTGATTGATCATAATCATCTTTCGAGCCCCTTAGACATAGTCTGTGGACCTCCTGGGGTCCACACACCACAGGTTGGAGACCTCTGATCTAGATTTTAAAACATGAAATTATTAGGCATTTTTGTGGTGCTCCTCACCATACTATTTGAGTATTTTGCAATAATCAAGTCATAAGGTTGTGGTATAATGTTTCTTCCTAAAATACTCCAGCGCTAGCAGATACATACAAAGCTAATACTGTTCATTTCTACACTGCTACAATTTATTTTTTCGGGGGGGATTCTTACACTGGCACCATTCCCCTCTGTATTAGAGCTCCTCAGTACTGTTGCCATTTGTGTACCAGGGCTGCTAAAATGCAAATCATTTTCGTCCCTGTAGAACGGCCATTCCGCTGGATGGTGATCATGTGACTTCAGGTTGGAAGCAGATAACTTAGCACATCCCTTTCTCTGCCTGAGAGTCAAGGCAGCAGAGTGACAGTACAGCTGTAACAGCAGCATATGTACAGTGCAGCTCCCCATCTGCCGTCCTCTGCTCTCCTATCAAGATGGAAGGTGAAAATTAGCTTTTTGTTTTGTGTGGTTTTTAAAGCAGGGCTTGAGAAATATCCTCACAGGAGCTGTATAAATGCAAGGAGGGCAAGTATATTGCAATCTGTGAGCTTCAAAGCTCTCAAGAGAACTAGAGCATCTATTCTCCTTCAGCTCTCCACCCCAACTGTGCATTTCTGATTTCAAAAGGAGATTGTTTTTTTTTTAATTCTCCTAAAGATACTCTTGTGGAAAACCTCTGCACTGCTGACATGCTGACATAGAAGAAAACAGGTAATTTCTTTAGGATCACTTTTAGTTCACTTGTAAAAAGCAAATACTATGCACAAGCATGTGCAGCAAATGACAATGCATATGATGATATAGATGATTTTGCTTATTGCTTTGATAAAAGGGGTCCTTCTGATATTTTCCAAATGGATTGGTTTAATTATCCAGAGCTTCTGTGTATAAATGAGGAGAGATTTGTTTTACAATTTGAAGTTATGTAACATATTTCACACATCTTTTTGTGAGCAGAAGTGCTGTACTTCCCACAATATGGAGGAATTCAGGGATACATTTTATGGAATCATCATACTGAGTTTCAAAAATAAATTTGGTTTCAGGAATATGAGTTTGACTCTGAATCAGCACAAATGCTGATATTTAGTGTTTGTCTCCATATTGGAGCTCTAAGGGCTTTCCCCCTGTCTCCCCCTACACAGACATGCACGCTATTTATAGCTACTGTCTTTTTCTGATAGGAAGAATTTGGTGAGACTAGTGCTTTCAGGCAGCCCAGGAGATATCTGATAGAGTGAGGCAGAAGTTTCTTGTCCCCCCACTTTAGGAAAGGGAATACTATTGTTGTCCCCTTCTGTTGAATCTTAAGATCTAGCTGGGCCCCAGTTGCTGAATATGGACTTGCATTTTGATACATTTTAATTTTTATTTTAAAGGATTCACCAACTGCAGGAATCTCATGCTTATGATAGCTGAAGTAATGGCCTTGCTTAAGCTATAGCACAATTTATATTCCATGTAACAATTTTTTTAAATGCATGCACTTCTTTCTTTCTGCAGGGGAAAAAATGAATCCCCATATATAACTTTTAAAGTAAACATACCTCTATTGATCAACCTTTAAGTAGTATGAATTTCCTTTTATCCCTTATCTGCTGCACATGCTCCTTGTATTTATATAAAGCCCCTGAACTTGATTTCTCAAATTCTCTTTGCATATTCACGTGCTTGTAGTTCTTGCTTTTTTCCGTTTGGGCATGTCATTATCTGATGACCTTGCTGAGTTGGCATGGCACCACCTTATTCCCTAGGGCTTATGGCCTTATCAGCTTCCAGATACTGGTGTTGCGATCCCTCACTTGTCATTAAAGCCAATAGAAATTTGAATGCGCTTACTGTCTTTTAGGATCAAACTTTACATGGCATGTGGCAGGTTCCCTGTAGCCATGAGGTGTTTGTGGTAGTGTTGTCTTTGATTTTGGCAAAAAATATAGGCTTCTCCAAGATCAGTAGCAGTGAAAGTGGAAACAAAAAGTCTGCTCGAAATACCCAACTGCTCGATACATAATTATGTTTAGGATGCTTTTAATTTGTTTTTTCATATCAGGTAGGTTCAAGTATACCATATACTTATAAAATGTTAGGACTTAGAGCCTGGTAATTGGATCCAAATAATCTTAAAATTCAGAGGTGTGCCGCGTCCAGGTTTTGGCATGACCTATCACTGCAAGAAATTTTAGCCACTAGCACATATAGTGAAGGCAAATAGAGTCTAAAATAAGAGGAATGACTTACTGAGTATGAAGCGTTAATTATGTTCACATGGGAAAAGTAAAGTAAATGAATGGTGTGAAATAACTGTGATGATTTTCTTTCAGTGAATTACTAGAATTTTATTTTTGCTAACTCTACAAAATCCTTCCTAACTTCATTTCCTCCATAACACCACACTGCAGGAAATAATACATAGTAACAAGGCTTGAGTGTAAACTATACAGAAAAATTTATACAGTTGTATAAATTACTCATCTAGAATAATTGTACAAGTGATCAGATGATGTAGTCATGGGTTTGGTATAAGAGCTTGGGGGGTGGGGTTCAGGAAATGAGGTATGGTGATACCGGCATATTAGGGCTGTGCAAAACACCATCATTTCGTTTTGACATCCATTTTACCATTTCGAAGGGACAGTGTTACATTTTGTCGTTTAGTTTTGAAGCACCGTTCCATTTCATTTTGTTGAAACTGTTTCGCTGTTTTGATGTGTTTCGCCGTTTCGCCCATGGGCTATAATGGGGAATCATGAAAATGCCTAAAATATTGTTATTTCTTGCCTGATTTGGGTAAAAACTGCAGAAATGGTAGCCCCTTCTGAGGGCATGAAGCCTGCCAAGTTTCAAGGAGATAGGTACAGAGGTTTCTGGAAAATTGTACCTCAAACTGTTCAAAACACAACTCCTGACACTTGCCGGCAGCAGCATCCTCCTGTTATCCGGCACACAGATCTGAGGGCCCACACCCCTGGGAGGGCTGCGGTGCTTTGCCAGACTTCTCCCAGGGGTGCGGGCCCCTGGATCTGTGCACTGAATGAGAGGCGGCTGCTGCTTCCGCCTGGGATGGGCATTGGGCACAGCCTGTGCCCAGCACTGGAGAAGATTGCTGCTGCCACCTGGAACTCCTTTCATCCGGCGCGCAGATCCGGGGGTTTGTGCCCCCGGGAGGAGTCTGGCACAGCCCAGCAGCCCTCCCAGAGGTATAAGCCCCTGAATCTACACCCCGGATGAGAGAAGGCTGCCTCTTCCACCTAGGACTGGCAATGAGTGCGGGCTGTGCCCAGCACCAAAGAAAATTGCTGCTGCTACCTGAGCCTCCTCTCATCTGGGGCGCAGACCTGGGGGCTCACACCCCCAGGAGGGCTGCTCAGGCTGTGCCAGACTCCTCCCAGGGGTGCGAGTCCTTGGATCTGCATGCCGAATGAGACGAGGCTGCCTGGGACTGGTGCTGGGCGCAGCCCACGCCCAATGCCAGGGAAGACTGCTGTTGCCACCAGTCCCAGGTGGCAGCAGCAGCCTCCTCTCATCCGGCGTGCAGATCTGGGGGCTCACACCCCCAGGAGGAATACAGTACAGCCCTGCAGGCCTCCCAGGGTTGCGGACCCCTGGATCTGTGAGCCGGATGAGATGCGGCTGCTGCTGCTGCTGCCGCCTGGGACCAGCACTGAAGCCAAGTAAGCCCAGCTTCGAAACTTGAAACGTTTCGAAACTTTTGAAACGTTTTGAGTGCCCCTGTTTCATTTCAAACCTGTTTCAAAGCCTTTTGCTGTTTCGAGCGTGAAATGCGTCAAAACAGTTTTGAACCAAAACACCTAGTGAAATTTCACACAGCCCTATTGTATATTGTAAAGGCTTAGAGAAATAGTCAGGATCTCCACTGCCATCTTATTTAGCCTCTCTGGCAAATTCTTTGTGAAAAGTCTCCAGACCTTTTAAAATTTATGACTAAATATCTAGTTTATAATTTCTGTGAATAGTGGTCCTTGTCACAGTCTCTAGGTAGGGGGGCCATTCCCAGAACGCAGGACATCCATTTGGTGAGGAGAGGGGTAACCACCGACCACCTCAGCCAATCAGCAGTGAGGGTTGGGGCCATCATCTCCTCAGCCAGTCAGCAGGGAGGGTTGCGACCACTGGGCTCCTTGGCCAATCAGCAGCAAGGGGCAGGGCGACCACAAGAAACCACCTTCCTCCCTCCCTGGCTGGCTGGGAATCCTGCTCCTTCTAGCTGTGCACTGCTGTACCTTTAGGCACAGCCAACAGAATCGCAAAAAGAAATGATTGATATGTATTTCTACCAATGAACTGAAAAACAGGACTTTTTGCAGTCCATTCCTCATTTAGAAATGGACAGGGGACAAAGGGTTTAAAAACAGGATGCTCCAGTATGAAATAGGACCAGTGGCCACCCAATCCCTTGGTAGGATGCTGCTTCTGAGACTGTTTTCCAGTCTCCTGTGTGCATGCCTCCCAGATGACAAGCCTGTGTTGATAAACCCCACTGGGTTTGGACCTTCATGATTCAAACACTCTCTAGTGCTCTGGTACTGGGTCTCTGGTACTGGCAGCAGGAGGAAATATTATTTGGTGGGGGGCTGAGTAAATATTATTGGGGGGGGGTCACCCTTGCCCCTCCTTCACGCAGGGCTGTTGCAGGGCTGGCGCACACTGGTGCTGTACGCAGCAGCAGAGGAGCAGTGCCGGATGCAGTGGAACAGTGGCGCTGTGGTGCTGCTGCTGTTGCCAGCTGCTGCAAAATTAGTTTTGGGGGGGGCTAAACCCTGTTATCCCTGGCCTTCTGCTGCCTATGGTTTCTGGGTTATCAGCCATGACACTCAACCTGCCCAACAGAGTTTTGTCATGCAGAAGAATTTCTTTTAGAAACCTGTGGTCAATAACAGTATGTAGTGAGTGGGGAACAGAAGTAGCTTCTTCAAAACAAAATTGCACAGCACTCCAAGAAATGGATTTAAAACAGTGCTCAGTGTTGATACAGTCTATCTACACTTGGCGTTATCCTGGGGGCTTGGAGGTGAACATTAGGTGAAGCAGGAAGTATTCGCTTCAGATTCAGATTTGGCCCATTTGTAAGGAGAGTGATTCAATTTGGTGATTCAAATCACTGTCCTGATTCAATTTGGCTGATTTGGATCCGGAAATTCGGAGATTCAGCCATAGATTAAACAGGCAGCAGTCCTTGACCACGCTGGGCCAGCTGCCTCCAGCTGGTAAGTCTGTTGTGGTGGGCGGAGGTGGGAGGGAAGGGGTGCAGGGGGGTGCAGATCAATGCTCCCAAACCAAGGGAGGGATTAGGGCTGGGGCTGGGACAAGCTGCCCAGCCAGGGCAGGGGGGCACGGGACTTGGTGGGGGGGGCCCTGCCACTGTGTGCCGCTTCACACCGTTGGTCTGGGAGGGCATGAGAGTGGGTGTGTGCCCCTGGATCTTCATGGGGTGGGCTGGGCTGTGCTCCAGACAGATAGTGGAAGGTGCTGGGAGCAGGGGCTATGCCCACCTGCTGCACACCCAGCCGAGGCAGGGAGGTGCGGGACGGTGCTGCTGCGCTGCCTTGGATAAGCAGTGCACAGCAGCAGAAGCTGCTCCAGCCTCCCTGCACATCCCGGACAAGCTGCGGCTTCTGCCCACTACGCCCCAGCTGGGCGAGCAGCAGCAGGATGTGGGGGCGGGCATATGCACCTGGATCGGGGTGGGGTTG